AAGGAGTTCTAGATGCCAGTGGTCTCTACTGCTTTCCTCTTCTACCTTTGGAGTCTTCAAAGTCTCACAGTCTGCATACCTCATTGAATAAGTCATGTCAGGTTCAAAGTTATACAGCTGTGAATTCCACACCTACTTGTCAGCTGAATTGCTCTATAGATAATACATGTAATAATAGTATGCTTTGGCATCATAGGCTAGGACATGCTAATTCTGCATTTGTTTCTCATATACTAAAGTTGTGTAATATTCCTCATTCAAATAAACAAAGCAGTTTCTGCAAATCATGTAATCTTGGTAAGGCTCATAGGCTTCATGCCCCTCTTACAAATTATGTGTATAGTAAAACTTTTGATGTGATATACACTGATCTTTGGGGTCCTTCCCCCTCACCTTCTAGTTCTGGTTTTAGATATTATATTGCATTTGTTGATGCTCACACAAGATATACACGGTTGTATTTTCTTAAACAAAAATCTGAGGCTCTAGGTCCTTTCAAACTGTTCCATAAGTTTGTTCAAACTCAGTTTGATCTTACAATCATGTCAGTTCAATCTGATTTTGGTGGTGAATTCAGACCATTCACTAGGTTTCTGCAGGAGCTTGGCATAACACATAGGTTAACTTTCCCTCATACCTTACATCAAAATGGTTCAGTTGAGAGAAAACACAGAACCATTGTTGAGATGGATCTAACTCTCTTAGCTCATTCATCTATTCCTCTAACATATTGGGATCATAGTTTTACTACTGCAGTGTATCTAATGAACAGGTTGCCAACTTCTCCTCTGACTACACATCATTCACCTTTTCATGCCCTTTATGACAAGCATCCAGACTACAAAACCATTCGTGTGTTTGGTTGTGCCTGCTATCCCTTGCTCAGACCATACAATCAGCACAAGTTATAGCTCAGAAGCCAGGAGCGTGTCTATTTTGGAGTCTCCCCTCAACACAAAAGTTTCAAGTTCCTAAGCAGTTCTGGAAAAATTTACATCTCAAAGGATGTAAATTTCAATGAAGAACTTTTTCCCTTTCCTCAGCTGTTTCAGTCTAGTACCACAGTAGGCCCTGCTCCTATAACTAAACCTCTAGCCTGTCCATCAAGATTGTCATCAAAGGCACCAAATGCAGCATCTCAGATCCCAGTTGTCACACCCATGAATACTATCTCAATAAACCATAACATGGATCTTGATACTATTGACCACATGTCAAGGCACTTAGACTCTTTGATTGTACCTATGTCTGAGCAGCCTCATCCACCTAGTGTGACTCCTGAACTTATTAACATCAATTCATCTCCTCTTGATACACCTACAACTTCTATGACGCCTGCTACCTCACAAGCTACTCAAGGTGCACTGTCAAATGTTCCCATAATTGTTCCTCCTTTAACATTTATCACCCATCATACATCTGAAGCAGGCCCCTCTACATGTCCTACTAGCACTGCTCACAAGGTCATAGGTACTAGTATCAATCTGTCCAGCTTAGAGCCTGAGGCCTGTGCTTGTCCAAAAGGTAATACCTCCAACATATTTACTCCTGAAAATGATCACAACTCCACCTCTCTTGAAACTACCTCACCTTCAACATTTTCTAATTCCACATTTGAGTCCTCTCAATCTCCTTCTATTCACAGACACACACCTCCCACTTCATTCTTGGTTAATGATCATCCAATGTTGACCAGAGCCAAGACAGGGAAGTCTAAACCTAATGCACTAGTAGCACACACTGAATCTGAACCTGCTACTGTCAAAGAAGCCCTATCTCACCCTGCCTGGCACACTACAATGCAATCTGAGTTTGATGCTTTACAAGCCAATCACACATGAACCCTTACACCACTACCACCTGATAGGAAAACTGTGGGTTGCTGATGGGTTTTCAAAATCAAGGAGAATGTTGATAGATCTATCAACAAGTACAAAGCTAGACTTGTAGCCAAGGGATATCATCAAGAATATGGTTTTGACTATACTGAAACATTTTCCTCTGTTGTTAAGCCCACCACTATCAGAGTAATTCTTACTTTGGCTCTCACACACAAATGGGACATTCAACAAATTGATGTCAACAATGTCTTTCTCAATGGAACTTTGACTGATGAAGTTTACATGACTCAACCTCCAGGGTTTTCCACAGCTGACAAGACACTTGTCTGCAAGCTTCACAAAGCTATCTATGGTCTCAAGCAGGCTTCAAGGGCCTGGTATGAAAAACTGGCACAGGCTCTTATCCACTTTGGATTCACCACTTCCAAATGTGATAACTCTTTGTTTCTCTACTGCTCTCAGGGTACTCTTCTGTATGCACTTGTGTATGTAGATGACATACTGATCACAGGCTCTGATCCAACTCTGATTCATACCCTGATCCATCAACTTCACACTGAATTTGCCTTGAAGAAGCTAGGCAGACCAAAGTATTTTCTTGGTATTGAAGTTAGCTTTCAAACAGATGGTTCAATGCTTTTAACTCAATCCAAATACATCAAAGATCTCTTGTTTCGAGCCAACATGGTCAATGCTAATGGAGTTCCGACCCCCATGACGACCAGCTGTAAGCTCAGCAAACATGGAGCTTTCAAACTGACAGATCCATCATTCTATCGGTCAATTGTGGATGCACTGTAGTATGTGACTTTAACTAGGCCAGATATTGCCTACAGTGTGAATGAAGCTTGTCAATTCATGTTTGATCCACTTGACACACATTGGTCTGCAGTGAGACGAATCCTCAGGTATTTAAGTGGAACTGTCACATATGGCTTACATCTTTCACCTTCGGCTTCAACTTCAAAATTATCAATGCATGCCTATAGCGACTTTGATTGGGCCAGCGACCCGGACGACAGAAGGTCCACCTCTGGTTCATGCATTTTCTTTGGTCCTAATTTGTCTCATGGAGCTCTAAGAACCAAGCGTTGGTTGCTCGTTCTAGCATGGAGGCAGAATATCGTGCTCTCGCTCACACCCTTCTGAATTACTGTGGCTGGAATCATTGTTGTCTGAACTCAAAGTCGCATATCATACCCCTATTCTGATGTGTGATAACTTGAGTGTGGTTCTGCTTTCTCACAATCCCGTTCTTCATGCCCGCACCCAACACATTGAGCTTGATATTCATTTTGTGCGTGAACGTATTGTAGCTGAACAATTACATGTGCATCATGTCCCTGCATCCGTTCAACTAGCTGATACACTTACAAAACCGCTTGGGATTGAAGCATTTCAGCATTTACGACACAAACTCAAGGTTACAAGTTTGACAAACCTTAAAACCTCACCATGAGTTTGAGGGGGGGGGGGGGTATTAGAGATAACAAATAAGAGAGGTTAGTCATTACACTTGTATAGACTAAGTATGTATATATATGGTACTCTCTTGTGTACATTGATCAACAATGATAATATAACTTTCCTTTTCCCTCTCTCTCTCTCTCTCTCTCTCTCTCTCTCTCTCTCCCTCTCCCTTTGTATCTGTAACAGAATTCTGTTACAAGGATGAACCTCCATGTTCATCTTCTTCAACTCTAGTAATAATGGATTGCAAGAACTGACCAACAATGCAATTGACGCTCAATGCACAACTTACAGAGATTCTAAGAAGAAATATTTTAAAGTTATGCTCTTCATCTATCAATCTGTCGACACAATCAATTTATAGACAATTGAAGATGCAACAATGTCTTAAAAATTACAACAAAATTTGAATCAGATGTTTTTAAACAAAATATAAAAATGTTTTTTTATGATCAAAAAACATATAAGGATTATGGATAACAAAGTAAAACAATAAGGAACAACAAGGATTGGTTATAACCTGTTATTCTTTCCTTACTCTCAGAACAAGATTACAAGTATACAAAAATAACAAAATAACCCCTCTCTCTTGAAATTAAGATTTTATCTTCTCATTTTTCCTTATATCAAGATTTAGAAACTAATATCCTATTTATATAAAAAAAAAGCACATTAACTTAATGAGCTTTTTAACAATTACTCATTACAAGCTAATTTAGAGTACAAACTAACTTAAATAATTGAGCTTATAAGCAAAACCCAATTCAATATGCTAACAAGTCTAACAATATTGACTAATGCATATTAGAACAAACGTACTTCGACCACCAAGCTACCATTCGACCATCAAGCAATAATTCAAAGGCTTTTTAGGTTGTTCGACTATCAAGCAATAATTCCATACATGTGCAGGAAACCTAATTTTGAGGAAACCATGCAGGATTCCTCGTTTTTCTCATTGCGATGTAATAATTTTTTTTACAGGTTTATATATTCTTTTTGTTTCCTCATTGTATCTCTTTATCAAATTGGTGATTTGTGTGATCTTGTTTGATGATTTGTGTGAAATACTCTTGAATCTTTTCATTTAGTTTCATATATAACAACTCGAATTTCCTCTTCAATGTTTGCGATTAAACTTTCTTGATAATGTCATAAGCCTTCTTTAATGATGTCACATTCTCAATTTTCCTTAAAGCTCTAAATTCCACTCGTTAGAACTTTTTAAAACATACATATGAAAAAAGAGAAAAATTGAAATATTTGAATTAGTTATGCACATTGCACTTCTGATTCATGATCATATTGTTAATGCTTATATAGCTATATAACTAACTCAAACTAACATGTTGCTTAGTTATCAAGTAATACACCTAAATAACTTATTTGAATAAATTTTCAACACCTTACTCTGAAATATTGGTAATTTACATACACAAGCCACGAATCATTATTTTAAATGTTTGGTTGGTTTATTTTAAATATTCATTGTTATTTGACTCACGTTGTACTGATATATACATGAAAATTTTGTTCATTATTACTTACATTATATACTATGTATGTATACATGATTGATCATATAGCACATAAAGAAAAATTAACATATGTATATGTAGAACATTGCAACTACTGCTACATGCAAAAGCATACTATATACTATATGTATCTGATCAATATTATTGAGCTTCAAACTTTAGGAATTATAATTTGGAGAAATCCATCCCTGAAAATAGAAAAAGAAAAAACACAAATTATTAGCTTTCAATGTATATAAAGGTGAAAACATATGTAATTAGAGAAAAATTTAAAAGGATCTTGTTTCTTGGATTTTTGAAGCATTAGCAATAGCAAAGATATAATATTTCAATATTTGGAATATTATAATTACCATCATTACTATGCTAGTTTCAAGATTGTCAATTAAAACAAAGAGACTATAAAACTTACAAAAATTCAGCTGAGATATTGTCCTTGTTCACACCAGTAGGAAGTGGCCACAAAACCTCAAATGGTCCATATGGTATCTCTCTCTTGAGATATGAAGAAACTGCACAACCATTTGGACAACCTGCTACTTTCCAAGAACTACTAGAACGTCTACCTTTGACAGATAATCTGTCAAAATTCATAGAGTGACTCTTTTATTAAAAAGAAAATGGATCATATTTCTAAAACGCAAAGAGCTATGATACGCCGACAATAAGACAGATACCATACACAATACTGACAATCAACACTTTTTTTAAAAATAAATGAACTGTATGACACGCCGACAACAAGACAGATACCAAACACAATACTGACAATCAACACTTTTTTTAAATAAATGAACTGATTGAATGTATGTGATGGTGCTGATCAACAAACACGTCTTTCATCTGAAATGTCTCGGCTACAAAGACAAAAATTATTACAATTAATAAAATATGAAAAAGTTGAATTGCTTACTTTTGATCATCGACCTCCACTCTTATGTCACCAACACTCGCACCAGGAACTTCCACCATGATAACATATTTACCTTTTGATTCTGCAACATCCATTCTAGGTGACCACTCATTACCTGCAAAAGAAATAAAGAAGGAAAAAAGTTACATAGATATACTTCTATAACCATTAACTACTTATAATATATATATATATATATATATATATATATATATATATATATATATATATATATATATATATATATATATATATATATATATATATATATATATATATATATATATATATATATATATATATATATATATATATATATATATATATATATATATATAGCTTTTGTAATAGATAATTTTTATAGTTCAAAATGGTAATCACCAATTTCAGAATGATGTATTCTTTTCTCATTATTTAACTGTTTAATCTGTTTGCTTGGCCTAGCAAATGCAGGTGGCCCAAATGCATCAAAATCATAGCCTTGCGTTTTAGCCATTGAATCCTTCCTTGCAGGTCTTGCAAAACATGGTGCTCTTCCTTGCAAGTCTTCACATTTAGCAGCAAAGCATGTTGAGTCACCCTGAAAATTTGTTTTACTAAATAAGCCAATGAAAAACAAATCATTACAAAAGAAAACCAAGGTGGATTTGAATTGTATGCAATCAGAATACATCGGTAATGTTCTATAGTGTGGAATATTTGATCAAAAAGAACCATAAAAGTACCTTTTTAAGTGATTTCTGTCTCATACAATAGCCATAGGAAGCAGAAGCTTGGCGTGCAAAATATACGTTATTGTCACGTCTTCTAAACACAGAATTCAGACTAGCACTGCAATTCTGAAATTTCTCAAACAACTAAATTCACAATCTAGATATTACGGATATTAATTGTAAGCATATAATAAGAGACATGCATAATTTATAGTATTATTCATAAATACGAATATGAAATAATAAAAGAACATGATATCATAATTTAGGTTACCATAGGAAGAAGAAGGGTTGGTGAAATCTCATTCTCGTCAGTGGAAGCAAAGTGTGCTGCAATTATATCAATTCTGCGTTGCACCAACTCACTCTCCATTTTTGGTTGGTTAATGGTTCTCAAAAACTTGAGCTAATAAATGGATAATGCTGAATGTGGTACATATATATTTTGTTAATACAAGATTTTTTTTCTTTTCTGAATCACAAGTAGGGCCATTCAATCTAAGAAGTATCTCATGAAAAGACAAAAATACTTTTTAAACCATTAAGTATTTTTCACGGGTATAAATCCAACACGGAACTCTTAAATGAATTTAAGAGTGTGTTTTTTCTTATTAAAAGTGAGTTATAAACGAACATATATGTTTGAATAAAATTTTAAGAAAATAATTGTATAATAAAGTTTAATGTAAAATTACACTTTTAATTCAAAAATATTTATTTTAATTTTAAGGAGAATTAATTCTGAAAAATTAATTTTATATGTTTAAAATCAATTTTGTGTTTCATAGATAAAATTAAACATACATTAATGATTATTTTTCTTTGAATAAGTATTTTCATTTCATGTAGTTAAAAAAATTGATTAGCTAGGTAGGCACTTTCCTTTCATTTTTAAAAGTTTTACGAAATCTCTACCTTTTTTATTTTTTTGGTGAAAACGTGAATGTCAAAGGATTCTTTCCAGTGTCAAGTTTGGATACTGAAGTATTGACTGCTATTATTGTAGTTGAGAATTTTTGAGAGGGTTTTGTCTGCATTGAAAAAGTTAAGTAAACGAAGAAGATGAGATGAAGAATTGAACTAAGTATTTATAGAGCTTTGTTGCTTATCAAAATTGGATACATGGCTTATGCGTGAAGAAATAGAACGTTTCATGTTGCAATGAGTAATGATATTGATGTGAGTGAAGCAGTTATTAAAGACATGCAAATACATGTTCTCTTAGAAAATAGGAACAATGATAGAATTTTGAGAGGATCTTTTGAAAAATGACAGCGCACAGTAAAGTGGTAATGATGATGATGACGTCAACGGAGGAATTGAAGCAGTGTCAAAAATACATCAAAAATGTCACTTTTCTCTCTTTTCAAAATCGAAATATGGTATTATGGGGGACAATTTGTTACCTCAGATGTTTGACACACGTTAATTACAGAGTTTAAATAAAGATTATACAAGATTTTTTGAGAAAAGTCGAACTAATTGGTTATGTCCATATCAGTTCTTATGGATTTGGCCTATTGAAGGATGGGATTAATTATGGTTGAATGTTACAATGAGTAAGAGACAATAGAGTTTTGTCGAGTTTCACTACGCCAGAAATGACTTTTAGCAGCGCAACAAAAGACAGCGCTTTCTAAAAAAGCGCTGCTAAAGGGTCATGAAAAAAAAACAAAAAAATAGCATACCTAAGATAGCGCTTGTTAAAAAAGCGCTGCTAAAGGGGGGGTCAAAGAAAGCACTTTAAAAAAGCGCTGCTAAAGGGGGGGTCTACGAAAGCGCTTTTAAAAAAGCGCTGCTAAAGGGGGTCATAAGGCTGACCTATAGCAGCGCTTTTAAAAGCGCTGCTAAATGCCAAAAAAAGCGCTGCTAAAGGGGGTCCTAAGGCATACCTATAGCAACGCTTTTAAAAGCGCTGCTAAATGCCAAAAAAAGTGCTGCTAAAGGGGGTCTTAAGGCAGACCTATAGCAGCGCTTTTAAAAGCGTTGTTAAATGCCAAAAAAAGCGCTGCTATAGGTTTAAGTAGCATAAATTTAAAAAATTCTAATATTTTCACAGAATCAGAACAGTCTTATTCTTTCTTATTTCCACTCGCGAACGTTGCCCTATTCAGAATTAGAATAGTCACCGTCGACGCATTCCGTCCGCGCCTCCGTCCGACAGCCTCCGTCCGTCGTCTTTCCTCCGGTCATTCCGTCGTCACCTCATTCTGCCGCCGTCCGTCCATTGTTACGGTATTTGAAGTTTTTCATTTTGCATTTTTCTGGATTAATGTCTTAGTATTTCATTTTTTTGGATTATATGATGTTAGTGTTACTTCTTTTCTGAGTTTTTGACTTGTTTTTGTTGATACCGTTGATGAAAATTACTCGTTTGATATTTGCTTGAGTTTTGTATACAAGGTGTTTGTTGAAATGCCACAATGAATTTACTTATATTAACTTTCATTATATCTAGCCATATACAAGGTGTTTGCTGAAATGCCACACCTTATATGAGTTCTTTTTACTAATAATTTTTATAAGGGAAATACTGCACATATATTCAATGATTTTTTAGATTATGTTACTTTAGAAACTTCACACTATTTGTGATTTAGATGAAAGCTTTAAGTTTCTGTTAATCTTGAAATTTATTTATTTTTCTTAATCCTTATTTTTCTATGAAATAGTCTAAATTCACAAATAATCCTTATTTATTTATTAAATTTTAAAACATAAATATATAGATCCGACAACTTTTTTGAAATAAAGTTTGTTTGACGAGTTACACAACATTTAATGAATTCACGTGTCTTCATGAATGTGGATATAGTTTTAGAATGTATAGATCATTCATACAGCTTTATGTTTGTATATGTATAATGATGTTTGATGTTGCAGCATTACATTGTATCAAAATCTATATTTTGAGGGACTATATCTTTCGTCTTCTTCAATTGCAAGTGCCATGATCAATCTTATTCCCGGAGTTACATTTTTAATAGCAGCCTTTGTAGGGTAATTAATAACTAACTTAACTTATATTTGTTAGTCAATCAAAATTCAAACCAATAATAATATGTTTCTTTGAATATTTTACAGAATGGAAAAAGTAAATATTAGAAGTTTGAGAACTATAGCCAAAATTGTGGGGACTTTGATATGTAAATATTAGAAGTTTGAGAACAATCAGCCGTAGTGACAGTATTCTTGGAGCCAGGCCTTAATGCATGGAAGATTAATTCTCTACTTCAATTTGGTTCCACTTTATATGCGGTAATTTTTCATGATGATACACACCAATATTTATACATCATAATCCTAGATAATTTGTAATAAATATATTTTGTAGGGAATTATGGGATCAGCGGTTATGTTTTGTCTTCAAGCATGGTGCATAACACAGAGAGGACCTCTTTTCTCTGCATTGTTTAGCCCTCTTGTGACAGTGATTGTGACTGTATTGACTGCTTTGGTACTTCATGAGGAAATATATATTGGAAGGTAATGATAATGAAGATTAATTCTATAAATACATATTTAATTATTAATCTGATTAACAGAAACTTCAAATAATGATAAGAACTGAAAATTTCATAGAAATCTAGTACTTAATGATCTACATGGGCCTGTTCAAGTGTATTGTTACTTATCTATTATTGTTTTTGCTTGTGCTGTTGTTAAGATGAATCATGTTCTATTGAATTAAGCTTGGAAGACATTCAATTGAATAATGACACAAAGCTTGAAGAAAACCGTGTATTTGTGGCTGATAGTGAACTCCATGCAGTCTCATACAGAATTCAATAGTCAAGTAAAGATTGTTAAGTTTATTTCTTCCTAATGTGACATCTGATATTGTATCTATTTGTAAAGTTATCAGATTTGTAATTATATGTGAATTGATTGTATATGTGATTTTGTTCTGAGGATCGGACTGTGTTGTAATATATTTAAGCAGGTTTATGTGTATAATATATCAAAGTGATGAGTTACAATGTATACTTTAGTTATTGTGTATAATATTGCAAATTGATGAATACACAAAAATAAGGCCAAAATAATTGTTATATATAAGGCCAAACTGTTGAACTAAAGACCTGAATTATAAGCAGGGAATGTATTTGTTATAAGCAGGTTTATTGAAAAATATATAAAAAATGTGATTATTTTTAAATAAAAAAAATTCAAAATCGTGAAGAATAGACAGCGCTTTTAAAAAAAGCGCTGCTAAAGGGGCAAAAAGAGGCATAAAAAAGCGCTGCTATAGGTTGGAAAATGAGGGTCTAAGAAAGCGCTGCTAAAGGGGGGTCTAAGACAGCGCTTTAAAAAAGTGCTGCTAAAGGGGGGTCTAAGAAAGCGCTTTTAAAAAGCGCTGCTAAAGGGGGGAGATGAAGGGGGATTAGGCAGCGGTTATGAAAGCGCTGCTATAGGGTGAAAAAAGCGCTGCTAAAGGTCTTTTTTGGCATAGTGTTTGGGACTTAGAGAAATTCAGAGTCCTCGTTCTTTTTCTATGCAGTCGAATGAGGAATGATTGAATAAGAATAGGTAGTTATTCAAGGACACGTGAGTGTCTATCGAAGGTGAAGGCTACATGGAGACAAAGACGTAATGCATTTAGCTTAGTCGACCGTTGTAGACGGTTATTTAAGATTAGTATATAAGTAGATGTTTGCTTATGTTTTAGGAGTCTATAATTGTACACTATTCGACAAACTCAAAGTATTTGTGTGAGAAAAGAGTCAAAAATATACGTGCACATTCCACTTTTTATAAATCAAAGTCTTTATTTTCTGCAATTAAATTGTCATCAATCCCTGTGGATACGATAAAACACTACCACAAAATACTTTCTAACACATTTATGTATGCAAAGTAATCAACAATACATGATGTACCATGTTTTTGATATCAGATTTATGTTACTGATTTATCCATCCACCGATGGTTCCTCTCTGAACCAAAACTCATCCCTACTCCCCCCTTCTAAACCTAAATTTTTTCATTCGACCTAACTCCCAAACTCGTCACTGGTTCCCACTTCTGAACCAAAAAATCGTCTATGGGTCGAAGTCTGTACACCTATCTATGACATACATGATGCATGAAATGTAAACCAAAGTAAAAATCACCAGTGGTTCCTCTCTGAACCCACACCATCGCCAATATATAGCCACCACGGTATTTCCTGTCTGAACTACACACCTTAACATTAATATCTTCAATATAAGGCCACCACGGTAACTCCTCTCCAAATAATTTTACAACGGTCATCCTGTTAACTGTGGTAATAGTTCTTTTTTGGACGCTTTTTTTTGGTATTAACTATAGTACATTTCACAATGGACGCTTTTTTTTTTAAGTGAAATGGTTTGTATCCCAACACCAACA